ACTTTTTCAGCACAAATCTTACATGGGGTTGATCTCTCTGGAGAACCAGCCCCTAGAAAGAAGCAAGGAGGACAGAGCGTAGACATCAGGCAGTGTCAGGGGATCCCAAAAACTGCTGTTCTCCCAGGGATGTCTAATTCCAGAACTGGGATGGTGTGTGACCACCGCCACTCAGCCAAGCACGTAACAGCACCAGTGCCAGGCACATCCTCTCCTCCCTGCCAACCAGAGGGACGCACGGGTGTCTAATTAGCAACATACTTGATAATTGGTGTAATCTAGTACTATTCCCTTTTTGACAGCCTCCACCGTGGCATCCCCCTTCCAAGCTTGAGCTGCTGATAGCACCAGTCTGATCTTTGTAATACTGAGAATAAAAAAAAAATCAAATCAGAGTCATCAGAGGCTGACATTAAATTGATTTAGGACCGGAAAAATTAATGGGATTCCCTCCTCATCTCCCTCCCTCCCTCCACCTTCAGTGTCTGCCTCACTGTGCCATAGAGCAGAGCTGCCAGGTGGAGACAGGGAACCCCACTGTCATGGAGAGACAGGAGACCCCCACCTCTGGGCCTCAGACCTGCTCCAGCCTTCCAAGTGAAGGGAAGCCAGCTCTGTGGATGCTGGCTGCAGGAGGCCAGGAAAGGAAATGGGTGTGGGTGTGGGTTCGAGGTACCCAGGCCCTCTGAACCACATGAGGCCTTGCCTTTCCTAGGAGAGTGAGCCCCTGAGACTAAGAGCAGCACTCTGTGCTACTTAGCTTGGATATGGCCAAGAAAGGAAGTTGGTAGGAGGTGGATCAATAGCTAGAAATCAGCTGAAACTCACTGATGGGAAAAGGGGCACCATTAATTAGGCTCATGAAAAGGAAAAGTACAGAGGATGGGAAACTGGCCCTAGAATTCCCCCAGCAGCCAACCAAGTCCACCTGAGCACCTTTGCCTCAGGTATTTAGGCTCTGGTCATCTCAGAAGGGCAGTTTGACAATCCGACTTTATTCTATGCACATCAAATGTAGGCTTTTGGAGTCTCACACCCAGAGACACATGCAAATGAATGTAAATGCAATCCTGATTTATGCAAAACAGCCTGTAAATGTGTGTCTCTGGATTTGCCAAAAGAAAAAAAAAAATTGTTTCAAAAAAAGCCTTGTCACCTAATTTAGCAGAGAAAGAAGTCTGTGTCTGTCCCTGAATTGGGTTGAGGCCAGGAAGAACTCAACACCTTCTGGAATGGTGCTAGGGTGAGGGGTGGGAGAGCTGATCCACAGCCTCTAGTCCCTGAACCAAGGGTCCTAGGGCCCTGGCTTTGCCAACAGTCCAACCCCACCGTGATGCTCATGCTCAAGCAGCCGAGCACTTGGGTCTCCCAGACCCAAAGAGGCCGCTCTCAACTCCAGAGGTGGCCTGCCTGCTAGCCAGGCCCACATGTAGCCACAGGCTCCACAAACAGATCACACCCAGCACTGACACTACCTAAAGTAGTGAACACCAATCAACACCTCCCTGAAGCAGGCCCTGGACCTGGAACTTTACATACAATCCTGAGAACAGCCTAAGAAAGCACTGTCACCCCCTCTCACTTTTCAAACCTATGTCTCCCGTGGAGCTGCAGGCTCAGCTCCAAGAAGAGGGGCCTGTCTGGTCCTCTCTCTGTCCCGGACAGAGCCAGACACATGGCAGCCAGCCTCGGACGGCTGCTCATAAACAAAGCCTTCTCTGTCAGGTACCACTTAAACATAATAAAATGCACACGTGTTGATGCATCCTGAGCCTGCAGAATGGATAGACGTTTCTACACAAGCCACAGGATGTTCCAAAGCTTGCTTGTGGGGAGCCGTGCGCTCTCGGGGCTCTGCAGCAGCCTGAGTGCCTCACACTTAAGGGGGAGCGTGTTGGAACCCAGGTCCACACTGGCGGGAGATGGTAAGGATCTGGCCAACAAGGGCCCACAGTGGCCCAGGAACAGGCTCAGTTCATCCCTCGGTGCTGCTGAAGAAGAAACCCAGGCTGTATGCTGTGGCGAAACCAGGACACCTGTTCTCACCTACGGTCCCCGGGCAGCAAGAGGAGAAGCAGCAGGTGTAAAATGGACTTGGATCTGTGGCTGAGGATGGCACAGCTTCGGGCCTGGCCCCTGGAAGAACGCTGCATCCTCTTCCGTGCTGTGACCTTCACTAAGGGTCACCTCTACCTCGGCTTCCTCTGCAACTCAGGGGCAACATGGGAGCCTCCCGCCAGCATGACTGTGACTATTTCTGCCCCCAAGGGCTCACCGAGCACAGTGCCTGGACCCAGCGGGGTTTTGCACATCTGGACTGGCTACCAGACGTGACGGGGGTTCATACAGACACAGGGTGGCTCACATCACAAATGGACGAGAGCCAGTTCCCAAGCCCAGCTCTCACTGCTGTGACAGCCAGCCCCATCACACCACACCAAGGCATACCCGGGGGGGGGGGGGGCGCTCAGAACTCACCCGTGGCCCCTGCAGCTGCCCACCGCAGGGTGGCCACCATGACCACCGCACTCATGTCGGTGGCCTCTGCTGATATGAAAAGCTGACAAGAACTAGCTCCAGTAATTATATTAATTTTCCTCAATTTACACATTCTTGCTACTTACCATTTTTACCCAGAATGTGTAAATGAGGTATTCAGAGCCGCGTGCCTGACGGGGCTGAGATGAGAGCGGCTCGGTTGAAACGTTTCTGCTGTGTGTCTTATTATCAGGTCTCCTCCAAGGGTGACGCTCCCGCCTCCCCTCTCAGACTGCAGCTCCCCACAAATAAGCGGGCCTGGGTGCTCCTTCAGCTCAGGGGACCTCCACCATCCACCTGGAGTCTTTGGGGGACAGAGATGGATCTTCCTCAGTCAGACTCTGAGCAGAACTTTTCTTCCCCTAAGGAGAATGCAGAACCTGGGCTCCTCGCTGGACAGGCAGCTTGCCCCGGGGCTGGCTGCCTTCAGACTGGGAGCTCCTGCAAACATCACAATGGGCATGCTCCAGCTCTGTGGCTCCCACAGCCCACCCAAATCTTAGGACTTTGATGCTGTCCTGCATGGCCACATCCCAGGCGTGACACACACACACAGGCACAGGCTTTTGAGTGGGAAGAAAGCAGGCCTCAGGCCACAGAGGGGGCTCCCCAGGGCTCCTCAGCTAGAACGTGAGGCAGGGCTCTGGCCAGGAAGGAACAGACAGAGCCTCCTTCTGACCTCAGGGTTTGGGAGCAGGCCAGATGGCTCTAGCAGCCCCGGACCGGTGGCCCCCAGCCCCGGCTCACCAACCCCAGGCTTTGTGCACCCAGTGTCCGCTTTACTCCCCTGCCTCCCGGTGGTTACCACTGAGGACTCAGATCCCACAACTGCAGGCACAGGTGTGGCGAAGGCACCTGGCACCTACAGAGCGCTCGCAGCACTCGCCGGGCTGGTGAGGCAGGCCTGGCTGTCATCAAAGGCCACACTGTCAACTCAACTACAGAGCCAAGAGGCAAACCCAACTCTGAGCAACTGCAAAGCCTTGACCTGCAAGGCCACACTTCGCCACCTCTGGGAAGCCTTCCTTGGTTTGCTCTCCTCAGCACCACAATCCTCTTGCTGGAGAACAGGGCTAATCTTACAGCCCCAGAGACCAGGGCTTCATGTCAGGCACAGCAAAGGTACTCAACTGTGCAGTGGGAACACTTGTCTGAGACCCGAATCCTGGGTTGATTTTATACCCTATAAACCTTGACGTCTTATCAATGCCCTACTATACTGAAGCAATACTCTTCAGTGCATGTGCATGCATTTGTGTACACACACGTGCAGCTGGGTTGAGTGTGTACATGTTTGCACGTGTGCGCATGTGTACATGTGGGTTATGCATTTGTGTGCATACACATGCAGGGTACACCTGGGCACGCACACAATTCAGGAAGGTGTCCTGTGAGGTGACCATTTGTGTCCCCTCAATCACCAGCCTGAGCTGAGACAGGTACAAACTGATACCAACAACTTTTCAGAGTCACAAATGGGGTGTTTTGAGGTTTGAAGGCAGCTCAGGCAGAGAAATCCATGAGACTCATCTCCAGTTACTACCAAAAATCCAGAAGTAGAGCTGTGACTCAAATGGTAGAGTACCACCACTGAGTAAGGTAAGTGAGAATGTGAGGCTCTGAGTTCAAGCTCCAGTACCAGCAAACACACACACACACACACACACACACACACACACACAGAGTAAGCATCTCTTGCCACCAAGTCTCTTCTGCTTGGCACTGGTCACACTATCTTCCCTGGCTCCATTGTCAGAGGCATGGAGAAGGGCTGGTATGACCACTTTGCTGGAGTAGGGAACCCATTCAGTTCCTGTGACAGGGGTTCAAGAGCCCATCAGTTATCCCAGTGTCGTCAGCCTAGAGGAAGAACTAGGAGCCAGCACACCTCCCGCAGAAGGAGAGACTGCTGCCACAGCCAGTCCTCAGGACAAGAAGAAAAGCAGATTGCTCATCAGCCCCAGCAGCAGCCTAGGCTCTGCTCCTGCAGCCCCAGACCCACCTGGAACCCACGGCGGTGGGGGGGGGGGTGAAGGGGGGAATCTCCTCTCTGCCCCAGTCTCCTGTTGCCATGGTCCTACTCTAGGACCCCGGCCTACATGGGGCAGCCAGTCACTAAAGAATCCTTTGGCTTCCCTTCTTTCTCTGGATCACAGTGTCAGACCCCAGAACTACCCATCTCCATACCTCCCACCCTTCCAGAGCTGGGGTGGCCAGCTTTCCCCAACACTCCCTGAGTAAAACCTTCCTGCAATGATGAAAACCTGCCTCCTCTCTCCCCATGAAGCTCATCAAGCCATACCTGAAACGTGGACGAGGGACTGAATCTTGCCCATGATTTGGTTATAATTAATTTGGAAATTAACTACCCACACGTGAGCTACAACAACTGCCTCCTCTCCATCCTTTTCCCCCCACCCAATTAAAACAAAAAACAAAATCAAAACAAAAAAGTCCTTCAATCCAGGTGTACCTCTTGCCCTTTATTCCAGCTTCTCCCAGAGCTCCAATATGTACAGACTGTATTTATACATATAATATACACCATATATACGTATTTATATTTATATTTATATATTCACACACCAGCCCACACACACACACTGGCTCACACACACCCTTACCGGAGGGGCACGTGGCTACTCGAAGCCCTGGTCAGCTCCAATAACTAGTACTGGGCTGGCCAGGCAGTTGTGAGGTTTTGTGTTTGGGTTTTTTTTTTTTTTTGCGCTTTTGCTTCTTTTTTTAAAAAGGCCATTTTCTCCGTATGTCTTCACTCTCCCCACACTTTTAAACACCTCCCCCAAACACTCTTTAGTCTAAAAAAAAAATGTCTGATTTGCCAAGGCAGTTGCTAGAGGATCCAGGCCAGTTACACGCGGGTCCCAAGCAAGGCAACTCCACCCAGTGCTCCCTGGGCGACCCTGCTGGACAGGAAGAGGTGCCCAAGGCACACAGACCTGAGACAGAGACTGGCCTCTGCAGCCAGCCCCGCCCTCCCTGTGGGCGTGGCCTTGTTTGGAGTACCCACGTAGGTCTGCCCTGCGGGTGGGCGTGTCCTGTGGGTGGGCGTGGCCACCTGTGGATGGAGCTTCCGCGGTGGGCGTGCCCGGTGGGCGTGCCCTCCGGGTGGGCGTGGCTATAGCGTCAAGGGCACCTGCCAGATGAGCAGCGTGCTGTCCGTCTCCCCGCACGGGGCGGGCCTCCCGCTGCCCCCGCCGAAGTTGCGGTAGCCCTGTCCTCCCGAGATGATGGCCACGGAGCAGATCTCTTTGCGGTGGGCATCCCGGGCGCAGGGCCGGCTGCGCACCCACACGTCGGGGTCGTCGGCCATCTCGTAGATGGAGCCGTCCTCCTCGCTGTGCTCCAGCGCGGCGGCGGGGCCGGAGCCGTCGGAGGGCGCGGGCTCCCGCACCGAGAGCAGCGGGCCGGGCAGGTGCGCCGTGGAGCGCAGCCGGTACTGCAGCAGGATGCCCTTCTTGCGGGTCAGCTCCCGCCCCACGTGGCTGTCGGGCGCGGGCACCGGCTCCTGAGCCTGCCCGTCGGGCTTGTCCTCCTCCGCCTCCTCCTGGTCGCTGCGCAGGATGTCGGGGGCCAGGATGCTGGTGGCCACGGCCAGGAAGGACACGGGGCCGCAGTGACCGTTGAGGGAGACCATGCCCTTCCCTGTGAGAAACGGCAGAGGGGCAAAGGCCCAGAGCATGAAGGAAGGCTCCCCCATCTCTGGGGCAGAACCTTCTGGGTGGGTTAGGTGCACCCCAGATGGGGGGGTGGGGAGGGGGAGGAGATCATAGCTGCAGTCCACTGGCAACTCCAGGGAAACCTTATCCCAGGTAAAATTCCCTGGCTGAGAATTCTTCCTTGTGCCCAGCCTGGAAAGCTTTTCCAGTCCCCCTGGCTGGGCAGCTCTTCCTTGGAGCCCCACCAGACCCACACAGTGGATACCTCTTGCATCTACCCCTGAAGAGCTGTTTACCATCTCCCGGTCCTAGGGCATCCTCACCTGGAGCTGCCCCCGGACCACCCCTGCCCAGACACACTTAGAGCTCATGCGTCTCATGCATGCCCCAGCCGGGCAGTAGTCCTCTATGAATGACCCTAGGATGCACAGTGCCCTAGTGAGAGGAGCTGCAGAGACATCTGGGCACAATTCACCTCCCCCGACCTCCACCCCTAGCACCTCACCTGTGATTTTGGGGATGCCTTCCAGCCGGGGCACAGGCAACAGGACTATGACCCCCTGGTCGGTGCCCACCCAGAGCAGACCCTGGCAGATCAGGAGGCTGGTGACACACAGGTGCTTCTGGCCTGCAGAGAGAAGCAGAGGGAGGTGGTGTGAGCAGCCCACTCCCAGGGTCCCCAGCAAGGGAGTGGCACAACGCAGGCTGCCCCCCGAGAGGAGCAAGGGGCCGGATGGTGTTGCGGTTAGGGTCTGGGCACCCGCTAGAACCTGGCTTCTGGGTCCCAGTTTCCTCTTTGTGTGAAGCGACGGTGGAGTAGCCCGTGCCAGGGACACAAATGCAGGCCAGACCCTGAAATCTGGGAGAGGTTGGCCTCACCCACAAGTTGGCACTCGTGGGACACAGGAAGGGCCTGGGCAGGACTTAGGTTGACATTGTTTTGACACCTCTGTGAGGTGCTGTTTGCCATGCGCTGGCACTGTACCCACGCTGGCTCCTCCTCGTGCAGAGCACACTGTGGACCACAGACCTTGATGTATAGGTGAAATGGTACATATTGTTCCCCTTATCCCTTCCGGTTACCCTTGTGGCTCCAGGGAGGGCACGCAGCGTGGCAGCCCAGCACTGGGCCTGGCACAGGGCTCTGCAGTCCAGCACTGGGTGCTGCCAACTTCCAGCTGCATGGCCAGTCCTCTCTGTGCCTCAGTTTCCTGGCTTGAGGAGGGAAGGGGAGCTGTATTCCATAGCATTGTCATGTAAGTGAAGTGAGCCTGGTGGGACAATTAGCCCAGCACCCAGCACGGCTTATACCCCAGACCATGCCATCTGTGTGTCATTACCTATTGCATGGAAAAAGCTTGAGGAGCCAGGGACTGGCCACTTCCAGAGCATAGGCTGTATTCTAGAAAGTTCCAGGTAATCTCTATGCTGTGGGTCCTCAGACTGCCCTTGAATAAATACTGGGTTCAAGTTTCTAAAGCATTTTCACACCTGCTCTGACCTCCAGCTGCAGGACACAGACTACCCTACCCCCTCCTCCGTTTTCTAGATGAGAATACTGTGCAGGGGTGCACAGCTTCCCACGGCTTGCCTCCCTGCTCCTGAGCAGATGGCTTCCGTTCCGTGCACACGGGGGGACAAATGGTGTGTGCTCCACCACTGTGGTCTGCCTGGGGGAACACACAGCAATGCCCCACCCAGAATGCCACCCATTCACTCAGCAACCAGGAATGCCTCGGGGCCTGCTAATGCTATGTTCTGTACTGGGTGCTAAAGGCACAGTTGGGACCACAGGAGTCCCCGCCCTGGAGGAGCTAGTATTCTAGCACCTTCTACCATAATGGGAATGTTCTCTCCTGGGCTATCTGACTCAATAGTCATGAGCCACGTGTGGCCACGGAATTCTGTAGGAGTAAATTTTATTTGATTTTAAACATGGCTAGCCTAGCAGATGGCCCGGTCCTAGTGGGGTAAATGGGAAATGAAAACAAGTGATTAACATAAATTGCTAGGCAGAGGAGTAAGATGCTTGGGGAAAAGCAGATGGGAGGGTTCCCGGGCTCTCCTGCCTCTCTACTTCCTGGGAGAATGAGGAAGCCAGGGTGAGGCTGAGATCTGATCATGAGAAGCACTAACAGCCCAGCCCAGACCCAGGAGACAACATATGCAAAGGTCCTGTGACAGTGTCAGCTTAGCCGGTCAGGGGAGCAGTCTGAATGATGCAGCTTAGGGCAAGGTGGAGGCAGACTCAAGATGACAGAAGAGTGGGCAGACCAGGTAAGAACTGTGACTTCATTCTGACTGCGAAGAGAGGCCACAGGAGTCCTAGGCTGGGAAGTACGGCAACTGAGGGCAGCAGGATGCCCTAGCTGCTACGGTTGTGAGCGGAGATGAGGGAGCAAGGCCAGCCAGGCAGAGATGGTGGACGGCCAGGACACGGGTGACAGGGAGACTGTGAAAAGCCAGCGCAGTCAAGATATGTTTTGTGGCAGATTGACAGAGCTGCTGACACACTGGAGCAGGCGGAGACGGGATGGGGGTCAAGGGCGACACTGAGGTTTTTTCATCTCACGCAGCCGCTGCAGGGCAGTCCACTGCCTGAGCCGGGGATTGACTGTGTGGCTGAGATTCACATCAACAGCCCAGTGGAGCCACTGGCAGGCAGAGGGGAAGACGATGCAAATGCAAAAAAGTCATATTCACAGACACACAAGCCATGCCACAAAGCAGCCCGGGAAGGACTCAGGAGTTGACAGAGGGGCTGGTGCGCAATGTCTGGGTTGGGGAACGGAGCAGGTGCTGGGCTATTCCCTGTGCTCACACCCGCTCAGAAGGAGAGCTGGGAGGCACGAGGGTGGCCTCCAGCCCAGCAATGGGGCCAAAAACATTACAGACCAGTCAACACTACAGACTCACTTCAAGCTCCTGGCCCTAAAAGTTACCTTCTCTTCTTCACATCAGCCCATGTCTGCCATCGCCCTACTTCCCTGTGTATGCATTGTCCGCCTTCCCAAGTGGAAGCAGCAGCTTAGCTGTGTCCTCACAGCCAACCCCTCAACAGCTGGCTGAGAATACTTGGATCACTGTAGACATTCAAAAGGCGGCCTCTGAGTAAATGAGTGGATGGATGAATAGGTGGGTGGATAGATGCATGCTTGCATGCATGGGTGGGTGGGATGGATAAATGGATGGAGGATGGAGGATAGATGCATCCATGCATGACTATATGAGTGAACAGATGGGTGGATGGATGCATGCTTGCATGCATGGGTGGATGGGATGGATAAATGAATGGAGGATGGATGGATGTACAGACAGACAGATGGATGAATTGGTGGGTGGCTGATCTATGGACGGGTAGGTGGATGAGTGGATGGAAGATAGGTAGGTGAATGAATGGAAGGGTGGATGGATGATGGATAAATGGATGAACCGACAGGTGGGTGGATCGATGATGCATGTAGTTGAAGGTGAAGAAACTAGCCATATGACTAGCCATATGAGTTTGGACAAGTTGCTTTCTCTCCTTGATTGATGATTATAAAGCTACCTTGCTTGCCTTTAGGATGATTAGACATGTTAAACACATCCCCATCTGCACACGTGTGTGCACGCACACACAATTGAGCACAGTTCTGAGCCCACAGAATGCAAGCAATAAACAGAGAAACAGAGGTGAGTAGGATGATGTTTGTGATTATGAAAAGGACCTACCCTAATCTTAAAATCAGCTCCGCTGAAGACATAAAGCATAAAAACAATAAGGCAGAGAGAGAGAGAGAGAGAGAGAGAACAGCAGTAGCTACCAAGTTGTCTCACCGAACGCTCACCTACTTTGCACATCCTGAGCCACTGAGAACAGCAGGAGATGGTTTCCTGAGCCCCAATTCCTCTCACAATCCTTGAGTAGCAGAAACTCCAACACAAACAAAAAGCAAGCAAGGCACGGGTAGCTCACACCTATAATCCTAGCTACTCAGGAGTCTGAGGTCTGAGGATCGTGACTCAAAGGCAGCCTAGACGGGAAGCCTATAAGACTCTGATCTCCAATTAATCACAGAAATAGCCAGAAGTGGAGCTGTGGCTCAAGTGGCAGAGTGTAGTCTTGAGCAAAAAGTGCTCAAGGACAGTGCCTAGGCCCAGAGTCTAGGCCCTAGTACTGGCAAATAAAAAAAAAAAAAGCAGGCAAGAAATTCAAAGAGATGGTAGAATTGAGGAGTAACTTCATCTACTGACCTCCTTCTCTGCACATCCGCTTAGAGAGAAGAGCAAGACACTTCACAAACAGTCCAAAAGGAGAAAAAATTCTAATGGTGAATAAATATTTTATCATAGAGACTTAATACAGCCGTATGCAGCTCACCCTGGCCATCTATCTGGAGATATACAACTTTAAAAAGCTCAGGCTCTCAGAGAACATTTTATTAATGACCTGTCTAGTTAAAAGGAGGAGGGAGTTTAGGTTCTTGAAAAAAAATGCATTAATATCAGCCGGGTACTCGGGTGGAAAGAAGGGTTGGGGGAAGGCACCATGGTAAATTTTTAACACACCCTAAAAAAATCCACACTTAGGGAAAGAACAAATCTATTACTAATTATGCAATTATTTCATTTGCTGGTGTGGGGGAAGAAAAAATACTTAAAAGCCTGTTTAAAATATCTCTAATAAAGAATTTAAGAACACTGTTTTACGGTGTTTCCATAGGGGCTCAAGTCCAGGGTTATAAACTGCCCTCTGCTTCTCCCTGTTCTGGCTGGGGCTGGCTCTGACCCAGCTTGGGGTTTGGGGAGCCCCTCTCAACTTTGAGGGCTCCTGGGTAGGCCTGAGTGCAGGACACCAGGCCCAGACTTCCTATAGATGCAGGCTGGGAAAGGTTAGGTCTGGGAGTGGGGGGTGAAGGATCCCAGGAAGCTCAGCCTACATCCAGACCCATAGGATCCCGAGAGGAGTTGGTGTTCACTTGCAGGAAGGCCACGTGGTCTGTGCTGAGGCCTCTGGTGCCACGGAGAGGGCACAGGCCTGCATCTCAGGGATGGCTCAGGACAGCCGCATCCCAGAAGCGAGTGTGAGGGCCATGGATGTGCCCATTGTGGACTGAAACTGAGTCAGTCCGTGGAAGTGCTGTCCATGCAGTCTCAGGGGACTCACACAGCTTCCTGAAAGATAGGAACCAGGCTCTGCACTCGCCTGCAGAGCAGGGCCCAGTGGGAGTGTGTGCATGTGTGTGTGTGTGTGTATGTGTGAGTGTGAGCGTCTGCACGTGCGTACACGTGCACACACCTGAGCTTCTTCTCTCCAAGCTGGCACTCTACCACTCGAGTCATATTTCGACTTCCAACTTTGGGGGGAGAGGAGGGTAAGAGATAATAGTCATGGACTTTCCTGCCTGGGCTGGCTTTGAACCTGGATCCTCAGCTCTCAGCCTCCTGAGTATCTAGGATGACAGGCATGAGCCACTGGCAGCTGACTTCGAATAGGAATTTGACTCCAAGTTCTCAGCTGCACACATGGCCTGGCCAAGATCTGACTCCTCTCTGGGACCCTGGTGGTTCTGATGGGGAAACTGAGGGCTGGACAAGGAACTGCTCAGAAGGTGGGTGGGAAAGCTGTAGGAGGCTCACGGGTCTCCTTGCAGCTCTGGCCCACCCAGCAAGGCTCAGACTCGGAGGCCTGGCTCAGATGCTTGGATCATCACAGAAACGCCCCTCCACCCCGCCCCATCCTTCCCTAATGGTGGCTATGGAGAGCCACCAAGTCAGTGAGCACCCACGTGGCCTTCACCGGGGCCCCCGGGGAGGTCAGTCTCACAGCTGACCCATCGTGGTCACTGTCTACCCCCAGAGCTGCCTCACCCTGAAGCAGGACTCCACTCTCCTGTTCCTTCCCCCCCCCATCCACGAGACTCCACAGTCTCTAAAAGGCTCATAAGATGATCCATTTTTCCATTCTTCCATGAACGTGAAATAATTTAGCTATCAGTATAAATATGGGAGTCTGTCTGTGGTATCGGGGAAATTTTATTGTGATTGAAATGGATGGAAATGGTATAAAGATTGAAACCGGCCCTTACCTCTGAGAAATACAATGGAACTAAGGAAAGGAGGGAGGGAGGGAGACCTCCTCCCTTCCAGGCCTCAACGCCGTAGGAGATGGCAGGGAAGGGCTCTCCCTGAGTCCTGGACCAGGGTCCTTCCAGGCCATGGAGACTTGACCCTCAGAACAGACCCAGCCAGGAACCACTGCACAGAGGGGCGAGCGGGCTCCTGGAGATGTGGTGACCTGCCCAAGAGCACCTGTGAGCCAGCCAGATGCCCCCCACCACGCCCACCCCCATCCTACCACACACAGCAGGATTCCTGTGGGGCTAGGCAGGACCGTGGGCGATCACGTGACCTGCCAAGCAGATTTGTCCTCCCTCTGTAACACAGGGATGAGCTGAAGCTCAGGAGTAAAATGAGAAGCTCTTCCCCCCACCCCCACTTCTCGGCATGGGAGTCATGGCAAAGTAGCAATTTGGGGTAAGGGAGGTCATGGGGCTTGAACTCAGGGCCTGAGCACTAGGCTAGTGCTCTGCCTCTTTGAGCCGCAGCTCCACTTCCACCTTTTATTTATTAATTTGTGACAAGATTCTCACACTCTCCTGCCCTGACTGGCTTCCAACCACGATCCTCAGATCTCAGCCTCCTGAGTAGCTAGGATTAAAGGCGTGAGTCGCCAGCACCCAGCTAAAGTGGCAGCTCTTACACATGGCCCTGACTGCTGCTATTCCAGCTCAGGCCCCCGACCCCTGGTGACCAGCTCAGGCTTGAGGATGAAAACCAACAGGGCTGGCCAGGTCTTGTGACCCACAGGATCCATCCTCAGCCTTGCTATGGGGCGCCTGGCCAGTCCCAGCGACCTAGTGACCCAGCAGCTCTGTTTCCCTGACCCCCGGGGCTCTTGCGCTCTCCCGGTCAGTGAGCCCGACCCTGAGCATTTCACAGCAGCCAGGCTTCCTCACTCTGGAAGAAGTTGGGCTGAGGAAGGAAACCCCATTGGGGAAGGGGTGACCCAAAGAATGGGCAGGAGTGGGTGTCTGTCCCAGCCCCACCCTGCATCTGGACAGCAGACCTGAGGGGCAGGGCCAGCTCCACGGAGACCCCAGGGCACGGGGCAGGGGCGCTTTCTTAATCCCTCCATCATTCCTGAATCCCACACAGGCCCCCATGGGGGGGGGGCCTCCTGCAGCTCTACCTACTGACCAGCAAGTGGAGAGGGATAGGCATCTCTCTTACAGCACCCCCCAAGAAAGGAAGGCACCCCCCAAGAAAGGAAGAGCAGCCTTTTGTCTGTACAGCAGAGACACCCTAGTCACCCCCTTGTCTTTTCTATAACCCTCTCCTCAGAGGAGCTCTCTGGGCATGGATGGCAGGAACGGGTTTCAGGGTAGGCTAGACCTGGGTGCGAATCTGCCCCTGCCACTCCCTACCTTCCCTTGGAGCCTGTTTTCCAAGCTGACCCAGGCTGTTGTGAGCTGGGCCCCCCAGGACGTGCCACCGGGGCGGGGGGGGCAGGCGTGGGTGCACTGCTGCCCTCCCTCCCCCGCCCCGGCTCCTCCCCCAGCTCTGGCGTACCTGGCAAGAGGAAGGTGGTCCTGGTGGCGATGTTGATCTCCTGCAGATGCTCCAGGGTCTCGGTGTGGAACAGGCGGATGGAGGAGCCGGAGGAGAAGGCCATCCAGACGCCGCTGCCCGCCTTCACCATGTGGGTCACGCTCACCGCCTCATCCTGGTGCGCCTCAAAGCTTTGCTGAACAGGGAAGTGGGTCGTTAGGGCTGGGCTGGGGCTGCCAGCCAAGCCCTCCCAACAAGACCCCACTCATTCTCCAAGGTGGGCTGCTTCCAGTATGAGCACAAGGTAAGCCAGACACTGCGGCCCACACCTTGTCATCCTGGCTACTTGTGATCGTTGTTCAAGGCCAGCCAGGACAAAAAAGCTAGCAGGACTGCATCTCAACAAGTAAGTCAGATATGGTCATTCATGACTATAATCCCAGCTATACAGGAGTGTAGGTAGGCAGATCACCATCAGAGGTAAAAGCAAACAAAAAAAACCTCTCTCTGAAAATAAGTAAAGTAAAAGCAGATGGAGGCATGGCTCCAGTGGTACAGCACCTTGCCTAGCAAGTACAAAACAACAACAAAAATAGAAAAGACGGTGGCTCACGCCTGTAATCCTAGTTACTCAAAAGGCTGAGATCTGAGGATCATAGTTCAAAGCCAGCCAGGGTAGAAAAGTCTCCATGAGACTCTTACCTCCATAAACGCCTCCACAAACAGTCAAAGTGGTACTGCGGCTCAACTGGTAGAGCACTCTCACCTTGAGCAAAAGAAACTCAGGGCCGGGCACTGGTGGCTCAGGCCTGTAGTCCTAGCTACTCAGGAGGCTGAGATCTGAGGATCATGGTTCAAAGCCAGCCCCGGCAGGAAAGTCCGTGAGACTCTTATCTCCAATAAAGCACTCGAAAAACAGAAGTGACGCTGAGGTTCAAGCGGTAGAGCTCTGGCCATGAGCTGAAGAGTGCAGGGACAGTGCCCAAGCCCAGAGTTCAAGTCCCACGACCAACCAAAAAAAAAAAAAGAGAAAAGAAACTCAAGGACATTGCCCAGGCCCAAGGTTTAAGCCCCAGAACCAGCATTATATATGTATATATATATATATATATATATGCATGCATGCAAGAACCCAGGCCCCACCTGAACATCAAGGGCTGAAGGAAAGCTGAGAGGCCAGGAATGGGCTAGTTGGTGGCATCTGCTGATCCCAGTGTAAATACTGCTAAGGGATAGGGGGAGAAGATGGGTTCTCAGGGAGGAGAGGGCCCCAGCTGGCTCACAGCAGGAGGAAAGCACCATCTGTGTATATTATTGAAAGTGACTATGACAACCCTCCGAACTGCTGGGGAAGCAGGGTGGGTAGGGTAGGCCAAATCTTCAACTTTCACCGTTGGGGGGGTTGGGGGAGGGCAACAGATAATGTGCAGAACCACAGAGCAGCTGTGAGGGAAGTGGGGGTGGATTAAAGGCAGTGCCAGAGAAAAGTCTTTTCTTCCAGGAAGAAGGACGGGAGATCACATTCGAGGCTATTTGATTTTTCCCTTTCAGGAGGAAGTATCCTTTTTTGTATCTTATACAAATACTGCTCTTATGTCTTTAAGAGAAGATACAATTGGCCAGGCTTCCTGTGCCTGGCAGGGGACAGTCCAGCTTTCTGAACTTGGCACTGGAGGCCCAGGTTTCTGCCCCACTCTCTGCCAGTCCAGTCCTGGTGCTAGTGGATGCTCAGGACACTAGTACAGGGCACCCTGCCCAAGCCAGCAAGGGCCCATCAGGATCTCCCTGCGCCTCTACCCAGCTGCCTCCCTGCTAGGTTTTGAGTCTTCCGTTCCCCCCACAGGTCCTGCTACAAAAGGATTGGTCCCCAGCTGATGGCACTTTGGGCAGGTGGGGACCCAGCGGGAGGAAGTGAGGTCACTGGAGGCGGGCTATGGATGGGGCAGGGGAATCCCGTCCCTTCCTCACGCTCTCTCTCTCTCTCTTCCACTTCCTGGCCACCATGAGGTGACTAGGTCAGCTGCCATGCGCTGCTGCCTCATGCTCCCACCATGATGTGCGGTGCTGCCACAGGTCCAAAACAACAGAGCAAACAAACAAAACAAACAGATTGAAACCTCTGAAATCATGAGCCAGTTACACCTTGGCTCCTGAGCACTGTTTATCCTGAGTGAACAGCTATGTCACACACCTGGCACGGAGGACTAGGACAGAGCCTCAGGCTTCGGTTTCTCCCCAGGGGGCAGGCCATGCCCTGACCCACAGTGGAGATCATCAGAAAAGGAGCAGGTGGACATGAACCTCGTCTACAGCACTCCTCGGTCGCTGGAGTGCAGACGGCTCAGGCACACCCAGGAACTAATGGGGGAACAGTCACAACCAAGTCCCCTCCACACAGCCCAGCTCTACCTGAAGTCATGTTTGCAGACTCTGAAATGCAGAAAGGTGCCCAGGGACCAGCAGCAAGCAAGCAAGACAACCACATCCAAACATCCAAGGGAAGGAGGAGGCCAGGGAAGAGAGACCGCATCAGGATTGTCCAGGACCTAACACTTTCCCCCTTTTTTTGGTTTTCTGAGTCTCCTCCTTTTAAAAAAAAATTTCTATAGAGTCAGACTTTCAAAAATTTCTATAGGGCTGGGAAGGTGGCTCAGTGGTAGAGCACTTGCCTTGCATGCCTGAGGCCCTGGGTTCGATTCCTCAGCACCACATAAGCAAAAAGAAAAAGCCAGAAGTGGCACTGTGGCTCAAGTGGTAGAGCACTAGCCTTGAGCTGAAGAGCTGAGGGACAGCGCCCAAGCCAGAGGTCAGGCCCCACAACTGGACCCAAAAAAAAAAAAATTTCTATAAAGCCAGATGCCAGTGGCTCACACCTGCAATTCTAGCTACTCAGGAGGCTGAGGTCTGAGAATCACAGTGGAAGCCAGCTAGAGCAGGAAAGCTCATGAGACTCTTATCTCCAGTTAACCACCAGAAAACCAGAAGTGGTACTGTAGCTCCAAGTGGTGGAGCACTAGCCTTGAACAAAAGAGCTCAGGGACAGTGCTCAGGCCCTGAGTTCAAACCCCATGACCAGAAATTTTTTAAAAAGTCTATAAACAGCATGTACTGAACAATAAGGAAAAACAAAAAGTAATTACCACAGCACAGGAAAGCCTCAGGGAGCCTCCCAGGGGAGGAAGGATTTTAAAGACAAGGCAGAAACAGCCCTGGGATGATGGGGAAGGCATACCAAGCAGAGGGTATGGGGAGCGCAAGAGCCCTAAGGCAGGAACAAAAACCAGAAGACAGGATGAGGGCCGCCACACCAAAGTGGGAGAGGCAGGCGGGGACCGGATCATGACAGGCTGCATTGGCGTCTTTCCCTTCCACAGGGAAGAGCCTCCATTCGGTTTCCAGGTAGCAGGAGCTGAGCTGGTAAGTGACATGACCAATTTTACTGCTACGGAGGGACAGGCTGACAACCACGTGGCAGGATTCTGGTCCAGCTTAGGAAACCTCGTGTGGGCTTAGTTCCAGAGCGCAGCTCCGGCCCCAGCCGCTGCCCCAGCTGCATCCTCGGATCACTATGGAGCCTGGTGCTGCGAGTGGCCAGTCCCCAGGGGGAGCGGTGCCAATGGGACCGTCTTTGCCCATGGTCAGAACCCAAGCCCAGCTGTGAAGGTCCGATCACACCGCTTGTTGTAAACCGGTCCCTGATGGCTGAGATCTGTAATGCCAGGGCTTAGGGCAGGGGAAGGACCTGAAAACTGCGATTTCCCCTCCGGAGAGGCAAGGCTGAGCCATTGCTCCTCTTTCCATCCTCCCGCTGGACGCCAGGCCACTCAAAAGGCGGAGTTCTGCTGCACAGGCCTTGCTGGGCAGCTAGACAGCCAACATAGTTGTGTCTACCATCGGACAATTCACCACAAGCAGGCATGGTCTCTGTCAGGCTGGGCAAGCCACTCCCTCAGAGTGAGGGCTCAAGTGTAGGGTCCATACCTTGTTCCTCTTTCCTCAGCCTCCCCACTCTGCCCCACTTTAAGTGAAGGCCCAGGGGCTCAGATGAGAACTTCCCTGGAGGCCTTCCTGGGAAAGGCAGCTGAAGACACACCTTCAGCTAGGCATCAGGGCAGCAGCATGGGGGGGGGGGACCTCGCAAGTGAGGAGAGGCAGGTGAGGTACACACGCACACAGCACACACCAGCAGAGGTGTCTGCACGCAGCAAGCCTCCTGCAGAAAGGGCAGAGGTATTTCCTGCCTTGGGAAAAGCCGGACGCACTGAAATTGAGCAGCCCAGGACCACCACGTGCTGCACCTCCATTTACAGCCAACTAGCCCAGCCTGCTGCTGACAGGATCTAATTAAAAGAGAAGGTGGTGGTGGAAATCCAGACTCCTCTCTCCAGAGCCTAACACATCTGCTCCAGTCCCCGAGGGCTGCCAAAGGCCTGCAGGAAGCTGCTGGCCCACGGGGGTGAAGCATGTGAGAGGCAGGGATGACGCGGAGAAACAGTGAGGGCCTCCAGCCCGGCCTCCCACCTGTCACCTCTCTACACTGGACCTGGGACCCGCTGGGCCTTCCCGAGACCCCTGCGGACCCCCCAGAACCGGGATCCTGGGAGGCAGATCTCGGATTCCCAGCTGAACCCACAGGGAAGGGAGGAGATGGGACCAAAGGGGCATGACAGCACCATTGGTCAGAGGGGACAGTCCCATCCCACCCACCCCCAATCCCAGAGTGAGGGCGGGCAGTAGACAGGCCCCCCCCACACACACCCAGCACTACCAAGCTCATTTTCTTTTCCCCATGGGGTAGTGCTTATATGGAGGACACTCAGAATCCACTGACCCAGATCTGCTCTCCTCCCGCCCAGGCGCTATGGAAACGCTGCCCACCCGGAGCGCCAATGCCAGGAGGAGGCTTCCCATTTCTCGTGGCCTGGCTTCTCATCCCTGGCCAGGCTTGGAGGCCCAGGGATGGGGCTGCCTGACCCTCTAAGAGCCCTCTACCCACCTCTCCCTTGAAGAAAGCCATGCCTCCTGCCCCCACCCCACCCCGGGAATCCAGAAGGCCAGTGCTCCCTGCCCTCTGGCCCCTAGAATCCAGGCACAGCTACTGACTGCAGGTCAACACACCCAGAAACTGCCCTCCCCCCCAGTATTCTAATCCAGCCTAGCTGAGCGGCATGGTGGCTCACACTTGTAATCCAGGGT